GTTCTTTAGCAGGTGTTTGTTTTACAAATATTTTCTCCATCTTTATGGTTTCATAACATTGCCTGTGAAAAGTAGATGTTTAAAATTTTGATAAAGTGTTATTTATCAGTTTTGAATAATTTTTGGGTTTTTTGTCATATCTAAAAACTCTTTGCTTAGAGTGGGAGGAACAGGGCAGTGAGTGGGCCCCTCCTGGCGTCCCCCTCTCTTTATGCCGTCCACATCTTGTGGGAACCGGGAGAAGTTCTACCTGTGGGATCCTGAGAGGCAGAGCTGTGTTGATCCTGGGATCCTGCCAGCCTCTCTTGCCACCCAGTCTAAGTCACACCCTGTCTTCTCTCTCACTGAGTTGAGGTTGAGAGTTTAACATATGGATTATCAGTTGTTCTAGCACCATTTGTTGCAAAGACAAGTCTTTTTCTATTGAATTACCCCAGTCCTTTCGTTGAAAATTGACCATAAATACGTAGATTTATTTTTAGTTGTCTCTTTTGTTCCATTGATCTTTATGTTTATTGGCGCCAGAATCACAGTGTTGTGATTACTTCTTTATAGAAAGTCTTGCAGTCAGATCCAACTTTTTTTTTCTTTTTAAAGATTGTTTTGACCATTCTTTGTTCTTGACATTTCAATATAAATTTTAGAATTGGCTTTCTCTGTTCTACAAAAAACCTTACTGGGATTATAATTGAGATTTACATTAACTCTATAAATTAATTTGGCGAGAATTTACATCTTAATTTTGGTCATTAATCGTTTTATACATATAAGGGGTGAACAAAATGTATATAGTAAATATTTAATTTAAGAAATTATTACAGTAAAAGACATTGCCATTAACTCCCTAAAACACACTCCACCACATACTTTGAACACACGTTTTCCATTGTCCTTGCTACTTTCTGAAGCAATTTTGGAAGTTCTCTTTTGTGAGTGTCTTTATAAGATGTGGTCAAAAATATGGTTCAGGGCCGGGGATTTAGCTCAGTGCTTCCACCGCCTGCCTCACAAGCGGAAGGTCCCAAGTTTTATCCCAGGTACCAAAAAAAAAAAAATGTATATATATATGGTTCATACTTCTGCTGAGTGCCATCCAGTGGAACAGCAGGTTCATAAAAATAATAGTATGTTCTCCTCTACCTTATTCATTAGATCTGGCACCATGTGACTTCTGGCTCTTCTGTAACATCAAAATGACCATGCAACTTAAACATTTTGAGTCAACTGAGGACATAAGACAGCCGTACAACTCAACTAAAGACACACACACACATGCACAAATCATACATGATTTAGTAGTGTCTGCAGTGTTAGGCATCCATTGGGGGATCTTGAAACATAACCTCCATGGATAAGTGGACCTACTATATCTATGAAGTCTCTAGGGTTGTGCCCTTTTCATTCCTGGCATAGGTAATTTGTGGCATCTCTCCCTTTTCTTAATTACTCTAGCAGAAGTTCATTCAATTTCGTTGAGGTTTTTAGAAAATTAGATTTTGGACCCACAGCTTTTCTCTATTTTGTTTCAGTTTTATTCCTTCCTATAATTCCTTTTGGTTATTTGCTCTTTTTATTTTCATCTTCCTTAAGATGGAAGCCTGAATTATTGATTTAAGCCCCTCTTATTTTCTAATGTTAGTATTTAATGCTGTACTTTTCTAAGAATTACTTTAGTAGTGCCCCACAAACTTTGATATGTTCTATTTTAATGTTCATTAAGTTAAAAGTATTTTCTAATGTTCCTCACTGTTTTATCCATCGGGTATTTTGATATATATTGTTAATTTCCACCTCTGATAATTATCAGATGTTGATTCTAATTAAATTCTGTTTTGGTCTCAGAAAGTACATTATTTTATATTAATTCTTTTAAATATCTTGAAGTTCCCAGCACCCAGAAGGAAGCTCCCCGCCTCCATCCCAGGCTCCTAGGGCAGAGAAGGTGAGCCAGTCCCAGCACCCAGAAGGAAGCTCCCCTACCATCATCCCAGGCTCCTAGGGCAGTGAAGCTCAGCTGGTCCCAGCACCCGGAAGGAAGCTCCCCCACCGCCATCCCAGGCTCCTAGGGCAGTGAAGCT